TTGCAGAGGTGTGAAATGTAGTGTCCGATGCTATCAGTCCGATATCTTTGGCCTTTTGTCCACTGACCTGGCTCTCCCGGAATGACACTGGTAAACTGCACGGGTGTGAAAAATAATGTTAGCTGTCACACCTGCATTATAAGGTAACTTTCTCTTATCAGTCGGGATAAGAACGTTCAGCCGACGCGACAGATGGGCATGTGTAAAAAACTATGTTCGCTGCCCTGCTTCCAAACCTTTACTGTTAACATAGTTTTGGTGTATTTTGTTGGTTAATAAATGATAACCACGTAGGGAATTCATCTTCTTTTGTGTATCTATCTTCAAAAGTTTGAATTTATAAATGATCATGTAGTAATCAATTGCGTGTATCGCTTTTAGTTTGCACTGCTAGCAAGCGGATAGCTGAATTGAATATGGCTTTCTGAGCCTCGACGCAAGTGATGTCACTCGCCTCAAACCGCCACCACGCGGGAGTATCATAAACTAAATTCACACCTGCATAAAATCGACTTTAAAAACTAAATAAACGTAACAACTTTTTTTCATTACTCAAAAATGACTTTTGGGCACCTAATGGATAGTTTTAACCCGTTTTTTCATCACAGTATACCTTTAAGGGGTTATTACTATATGGAAACCGATTATCTTTAATGTTTGGGTCATTTAAAATTTACCGGCATGTGCTCGTTAGTTTAATTACCACTAGTTTCTGAGTTTTAAACAAGTAAGGCGACTGGCAAGCTTATTTAACTATGGTCAGAACCCATCATGAGATGGGCATGCACAGCATGCGGTGGTATGCCAGAGGAAGGCTGGACTTCTACATCGCAAAAGACAGGGAGGTATTTCTAAGTCAACAGGGCAAGTGTACTAGGAATGCGAGCTATTGCAAGGGGGAACACTACTGCTGAGAAGATTTCAGCGTACCTCTCCATGCCAGCTCCAGTGGCAAACAACAGTTGGTGTCTCTACACACAGGCCTTAGGCAACCGCGCCAGGGAGAGAGCTCAGGAAAGCATGGATGGCACCCCACTTCCCGTGAAGCAGGTCTTCCGAGGGAACAATGTCGATCCAGGGGAAATTGTGGACTGTGGGGTTACCTTTGATGGTTCCTGGCAAACCAGAAACTTGTCTAAACATGGATTTGTAGCTGCAATGTCGGTGGATATGGGAGAAATTCTGGACGTTCACTATATGTGTACCATGTGTCAGACGTGACAATTTTCAAAAGCTGCCCCACACCACGGTGGAAGGGGTTGACTTTCAACTGAAACACTTCGAGGAGTGCCCTCGCAACCACGAAGGCTCAACCCAGGCCATGGAAGCTGAGGGTGCGTCTGTTTTATACAGTCATTCCACGGAACTTTATTGGTTACGCTTCAATCCATTTGTAGGGGATGGGGACAGCTCAGCCTTCTGGAGGGTCCAACAACAGCAGCCCTATGGTCTGGACATTGAGATTACTAAAGAAGAATGCATAGGCCATATCCAGAAGAGAAGGGCACTAGACATCGGCCCATAGTTGCCAAAAATAAAGGTAATAATTGTGAAAATACATTGAAGTAAAAAGTGCATTTATACAGGATTGACTTAACTTCAACACTACATCTGCTTTAGTTATTGCTTAGACTTTGAAAACATAACTTTACGACTGATCCATGGCCCCATGATATGTTGTTTTACCTCTCTGTGATAAGTGAAATTTGCAATCTGCTTCTTAGCCAAAAAAAAAAAAAAAAAAAAAAGCCACTCAGTAAATTTAAAGTAAAACAAAAATACAGTTGGACAGTTATGGGATATGTCATGTGTCTGACAGTGACAGCAACAGCTACAACGCGGAGAGACAAACCAATGAGAATATATATACAAACACTGACAGTGACTTACATTTACATAAAATATTTTGATAAATAGGATTATTTTTCTTATATTTTTCAGATAATATTGAAGATAATATTGAAGATGAAGTTACAGAAACAAGTGCACCCCTTGTAACATGCTTGCAACCAGAAGATTTGTTGCAGTATATATCAGATAAGTACGAAGACAGAATATTATGTTTTGCTCCATCACAAAATCAACACCCTGAATCTTCATTGTTAGGCCCTATCTATTAACACCCTTTTTAAATCTTCATTGTTAGGCAAGAAAGAATATTAACAAAGCAAAAAAGAATATTCTAAATATTTGTAATAATAATTACATAGTTGATTATGCATATACACGTAGGGAATATTGGCAAACAAATGTCAAGTTATTACTGTGAACACCATTTTTTCCAGGTGCCTCTGCAATCAACTGGTACCAGGGGAAGTTTCTATGGAGATAAAGTCATGCTGGGAGTCTATTGGTGACATCTCCAGACATCTTCATGACCACAAGTGGCTGACTGGGAACAGTGGATTAGTGAGGGGACACACATTATCTTAAAGGGATAACAACTGTTCTTATAAGATTAATTTTTTACAATAAATTTACTGAAACAGCTCATAGAAATGAATGTAGGAATGGATTCATTAACCTTAGGTATAAGTATGGGAAAACTGTCGATTGCTCCGGGAAAATCTGTTTATTGACCAAAAAGAACAGTTGTTATCCCTTTAATAATCGAAGAAATCAATTGTAAGAAAATTCCAAATCATGGTATACTAGCTGGCAAGTGTCCCAACTACTTTGGTGACTGGACTGTGAAAAAATTCAAATGTACTTACATTGTGGGGGATACTGGTGACAGCTCTGAGTTCTGACACTGGCACTATTCCCAGACTGAAAGAAAAAACAATGTTAACTTTGCAAAATCTGTTTCAATATTTGTGATACTTGAACATGTAAATCCTTACAGCAGTAAAAAATAGAGATCAATATTAATACCTAGCTGTATCTATATTAAGCTATAATATTAGGCACACCAGTTGGCTGTAACTACTTGAAGTGCACTTTTGTGATTTAATGTAAGGAAAGTGGGAAAATTACAGTAACTGGTCAACAAAACAAAAATCACTTAAACCCAAAAGAAACACAAAAGGTGATTACTGGTGATTTTTTCTTCATGGAGAAAGGGAAGGAGACCATGTAATTACCTGTTACCATGGTTTCCCATTTCTGGCTTTTCACATTCCATTTATCATAAAACTTGCCACATTTCATGTTTTGTACATGAGCACGACTTTAGCATTCTTTACATGAATATTTACTGCAAGTTTTTCTATCAGAGGTACCGAGTGATTCAATCTATTATAAGCTTCCATGTTTTTGTTATATATTTTGTTATATGCTATTATGACTACCAACCCAAACTTGCCACCCTATTTAATTACATGAAAGACACATTAAAATGACGAATTATGCATACGCAGAGGCCATTGCGACTAGTTTGTATTGCCGCAAATAATACCTTCGAAACAAATGGTGATTTCGCTATTAGCGCACCGTCGCGATTTGCAAGGCTTTTGAGATATGGGATAGCCAGGAATTGCCATGCTTGCGCCCGCTGGCCATAAGCAAAGCTTTCAAGATACCGGGCCCTGTTGTAACTTGTAGAAGTTATATACTAGTGCAAAGAATACAGATTCTTCTATTGAACTTACATTTATAAAAAAAAATTTAATTAATTAAAATAATTAAAAGACATTACGGATGTAATTTTATTTGTCAAGACAGCAATATTGCCACAAATCAGGCACATAAAGGCATAAAAATATTATATGTAATCACGACAGAAAAGGAACAGCTAAGCAAATTCAGCGCACCCACGTGGTAAGCCGTGACTGTAGTGTAGACACGCCCTGTAAGTTACAGGACGTGACTGTAGACATGCCCTGTAACTTACAAGGCTACATTGCTGTCACTGTTAGATCTAGGCCTAGGCTAAGTGTAGAGAGAACACAGTGATAGTGCGTAAACTTACGTTAGACTATTGTCGTCTGCACCCAAGTTTTTGCCGTACGTTCTGTCCTATCTTCTGCTATAACCCAGGACCCCATACCAGGCACGGCTGGCAGACTAACTGGGTGAGACAAGTGCAGAAAACTAGCACGAGAGGCTCCATTCACGTTTTGAATCTCGTAAATTATCGGACCTGACGCGAGGTTAGGCAAAGACGCCTCGGTGTCTCAACCGTGATTGTGTTTTACCTTGCACCTGCCTTTCAGCGGTCTTTCGAGCTTCTGCTTCGTCGGAGCTCATTTGCGCATATCTTTTTTTTTTTTTTTTTTTTTTTTTTTTAAGAACTGCATTGTTATTTATTAATTTTGCCTAGGCCTATTTGAAAATCCAAAGTAATTTTAAGAGCAAAAAAAAAAAAAAAAAAAAAAAAAAATCCTTTATGCTCCATGTATTCCCCATGTGAAATAACACAGAATATTGGAAAAATTGAGAACGAATGAAATATTCAAAA